TGCAATTATCTATCACACATATCTCAGAGCCACTTTCAAGACGTTATTACTGCATTAAATCCTGTATTAAGCTCATGGAATTATATTACGCGTGTTTTTTTTTATTGCTTAGATGGGTGGACGAGCTCACAGCCCACCTGGCCCACCACAGACATCTACAACGTAAATGCGCCACCCACCTTGAGATATAAGTTCTAAGGTCTCAAGTATAGTTACAACGGCTGCCCTACCCTTCAAACCGAAACGCATTACAGAAATAGGCAGGGCGGTGGTACCTACCCGCGCGGACTCACAAGAGGTCCTATCACCAGTGCTTACTGTAATATTCACCAATATCACCATAGGATGTGATCATCATCACCTGAGATCATAATAATTTCCTGATCATCTGATTAGATGTTTATTGTATGCTCTCCTGATATTTGTCAAACTTTACTATCACCTTTTAGACACCCTCCGTTTGTATCATAATCATATCAGACCAAACATACGTCGATAGGCAGCAAAACATTGATTATTATTTTAAACTTTACCGATTTTCTATGCGCAGCTTTATTTAACGGGCTTTGATGCCGATTTTCACATTTCATGAGTTTTCGCGATTACGATTTTCGTTTTCTTGAGATTTAATATTCCCACGAGAGCTCTAATAAATTTTGACAATTGAAAGAATTACGACCAATATCAATGTTCTTTATTAGGTGATAATTTTTTTTTATAATCCTAATCAACCTCTTAATACTTAAAAGTCTTCTGAAAAAATGTTATCCGGCAACAAAAAACAGAACAATCTTTCTGATAAAATAAATTGTTATTATTAATAAAATGGCGGTAAAATACTAAACAGTTTCCAGAGACTGGACCAAAAAATAATCCGGCCAATTTTGAATGTATATCCAAAGCTTAGCGGGAGTCCGCTGTGAAATTATCTCAATTAACTTGGTCATTAGTACAGTCGCGCGGGAGTTACACGCCGGGTATAAATCTGCATGTAATGACCGGCGGAAGGTAAGCGGTTTGGATACATATATTCGAACATTGTTTTGAGATGTCCCAGTGTCATTACTACAAGCGCTGTGGTGGCAGCGACATAGAGTCCATAAATAAAGACAATATTTGTTTAGCTAAGCTTTTACCGTCATTGGCCAAATCATTAAGACGCCTAATATATTTATATTGAGTAACATGGCTATGCCAAGCATCAATCCTATGGTGGATGTTAATTTTTCTCAGTAAACACTCACCTAAATTGTGTTAACCAAAAAAATCAGCGTTGCCGTAATGACATAGTGTAAAACTAAATGACGGCGTTGTCTATGAGCTCTTTAACTACTTATCCTTTTATGAGCGATGGGTTTTTAACAAATCAAGAAAGAAATAAAATATAATAAATAAATTTCACGTCCGACTTTATCAAACAGAACTAAGATGGCAGAAGCAGTAAAATGATTGTAAGATTTACTGGTGGTAGGACGTTTTGTGAGTCTGCACGGGTAGGTACCAACGCCTGCCTATTTCAGCCGTGAAGCACTAATGCGTTTCAGTTTGAAGGGTGAGGTAGCCGTTTTACTGGTAGAAACTGTGACTTTAGAACTCTTATCTTAAGATGGGTGGCGGCATTTACGTTGCTGATGTCTATGGGCTTCGGTAACCACTTAACACCAAGAGGGTCGTGAGCCACATATAAGCAATAAAATCAAATCAAATAAAAATAAAAATTAATGAACATAAATGAAAGTACATACTTGTCGAACGTCAAAAAGAACTACCGCCAATTCACAAAAACTAGCCTCCGTCCTGAGAAGAACTGGCAAGAAACTCAGCGGACATGCCTTTATTTAAATATTAGATTTTTTTTAAATATTCATTTTTATAATATAACGTAACAATTATTGCAATATTGAAATGCCCGGAGCGAGTAACTCATTCCAACTTTGTGCAATCTTCTAGATAATCATTGACTTTATAGTAAGCTTTATTGCACAGATGTTCTTTAATAGTTTTCTTAAACCTATGTATATGTAGGTTCTGAACATCTTGTGGGACTTTGTTGTACAGGCGCACAGACGCAAAAAAAGATTAAGCGATATGTTACAGTCACATTAATTATCACTGTATTTTTAGATATTTTGTAACTCATTCTAATATCTACGTAACTCGTTGTGTGTTCACGGGAGCTTACGGTTGACAGAATGTCAGTAACGCGTTAAGGTGGTTAATGAAATGAACGGCACCTACGCAATGCCTTTAAATTTCGTCCAAATAGCAATATATTAATTTAATATCTCAAGGTAGACTAACTGATTTGTGTTTTGAAAAATGAAGCAGTTTTATCTGATTAATAACACTAAGCGGATAAAATTTAGACATACTTTATATCACTGAAAATTTTGTATAAAGAAATTTAATAACTTTATTTCTGTTTATTTTGTACTAACAATAAATAATTATTGTATTTTTAATAATTAAAAAAAATTACAATTTATTGAAATGTTTACTTTAACGATAATAGGTTTTAAGGTCTATATTAGCTTAAAAAGCGTGCATTATTCCCCGAAGCGAGACACAGGAGCGGTGGAGTAAGCGTGTGTAGCATATTCTTGTGTTACAGGGGGCGAAGACCGACGGCGGGCATAGAAGGAGGCAGGTAGCGTTTGTTGTGCGTGCCCTAGGCTGTACTGTTGTCATTTGTCTGTCGAATAGAGCGACCAAGTGAGTTTCTATGTCAAATCCGGAGCTAAATCGCATTTGAGGATCGAACATAATTAAAAATGCTTATGAATGCCGCATCCATTTTTCGTGGCTCGGCGTAGCTATCAGTTTTTGGTGCTAACAGCGTTCTGGTTTGACGTAGATCGTAACACTCACTGTGCACACTTAGTAATCGTCGTGCTGTAAAAGATATATTTATATATTTGTTTTTTGTTTTTTTTTTAAAATATAATTTCCGATGCGTATTTAGTGTGTATTTATTTATGTTATTTAATCGTTTTGTTTTATAAATTAATAATGTTTACTGGTTATTTGGGAGCTCTCTGTAACGACTCCGGATTGTAAGTACAAGTTGTTGGTGATAATGATTGCTGCACAGTTGTTTAGCCGAGCTGGTTTTTGGCCCAGGAGGTTTCCGTAGTCATAACCGCGGTAGCACTGCGTCTTCGAGGCAGTGTGTTTATTGCTACGGAACCCTCACGAGAAATCGCAGCGTTTTAGTGTAACTGTGCTAATGTGTTTTTTTAATTGATTTTTTTGAATTTTTTTTTTGTTCGTTTACCGTTGTTTGAACTAAAACTGTGTGTTATGTGTTATATATAGAGAGCTGTGGTTGTTGTTGTGTCATCAACGAGTTATGATGAGTTGTGTTGGGGGGCGTCGGGCGGCGGCTTAGTCGTCTCAACAATATAAACAAATGACTGTCCGAAAATAATGTGCATCTTAAAATCATTCTAATTAAAATTAAAGTTGTTAAATTAGTTAATTTAAATTACGCACTCATGATTTCTGGATGCACTAAAGGAGAGGTTTCAATACATAATATTGACAACAGTAGCAACTTAGACCGCGCGCACACGGCGCTACATAGAGTTGCATAAGCTCGCTACACTGGAATAAGATAAAAATTACATTATTTTTATTGATTGAATATCTTAACTATACGTATTTGTAAATAAAAGCTAGCTCATGCAACTTAAGCTCAATAATTCAGGTGTTAGTTAGAAAAACTGCTTATTTATTGTTTTAAATAAGTAGTTTTACATTTTAAATGCGGTGGTTGCGGTAATGTGAGCGACTCTGGCACAACTAAAGTGAAGAAATGATCTACAGTCATCACGTCTTGGATGTTCTTCAAATCATTACAACGTCAATAAATTAAAAAGTGACTTTTGAATTAAGAATAATAGAGTTTGACCGTTAAATGAATTTGAAATGAAATCCCAATGATATTCTTCTTCTTGCTTCGGTTTCTTTAAAACTGTGGGTCGTGACCACCTCCTCGCAACAAGAGTTTATTCCGGATCATTCCCCGCCATTTGCTCTTATCCGTGAATGACTAAATCCCTTCTTAAAGACTGACATAGAAAAACGTGGGAAGCCACCATGGTTATATCCCAAGAAAACCAATGATATTACTGTTATATAGTTTGATAAAGTCTACGTTTTAGTCCGCCGCTCCACGTACCACCGCTAGGCTTATTGTGGTGTGGCTCTGTGTTTGTTTTCCGTGATTAGCTTTTACAGTTTAAAATCATTCTGAGCAGCTGTTTGTTGATAGACACGTGTAACTATACTGAGACCTTAGAACTTATGGTGGGTGGTGCATTTACGTTGTAGATGTCTATGGGCTCCAGTAACCACTTAACACCAGGTATGAGCTCGTCCATCCCACTAAGCAATTAAAAAAAAAACCAAAAAAAAAAAACCTGAACCTTGATTTGGAAACCTCAATGTTTTTGTACGTATATTCATATGATATGAAACTACATCTCAATTTTGTGTTAATTGATCATTGATAATGAAGTATAAATGCAGCACAGTGACTCACCTTGAAACATGAGGTTAAAACTTTAAAAGACTGATCGATTCTTATAGCTTCTTGGCAGAAAAACACAGCATATAGAACCTATCAATATTGAGAATAGTCTTATTTACTTTACAAGCGCTGTTGTTGTAAGATGATGTGCGAAAAATACAAATCTAAAAAGTTTGAGAAACGCATTGGTGTTGATAGTAAAAATATAATTTAAGAGTTCGCAGCTCGATCGTGTCGGTACCAGTTTTCGGCTAGACAATCGCGAATACCAAATCGTATATCAATCAATGCAAGTCTCAAAAATAAAAGGTTTTTCATTCGTTTAATTTTGTTTCAACATTGTTTAATTAATTACAAGAAATGCTCACAAATAATAAAATAATTGATCGTAGAATTTAATCACGGAAAGCGTTGTACAGTCGCAACGACAATTCTTTCGAATTTTACAATTCGTTTTTTTTAATCGCAGATCGAAAACTGTTCGTTGGGATGCTCAGCAAACAGCAAACCGAAGAGGATGTCCGCCAGCTATTCACGCCGTTTGGTACTATAGAAGAATGCTCGATACTACGCGGCCCCGACGGTGCGAGTAAAGGTCAGTCACTAGTTTTTCTTCTTAACTGTACTTTTCATAAACAAATTGTTAAAGGATCATCAGGGTGGCGGCGACAATTGAGACACTTTACATCCACACGAAATAATATATTCTCTATAGAAATATGCTAACCGCCGGTATTTATACAGTCATCTTGACCTATTTTAATACAAACTTAGTAGGTAATATTAAACATTGTTCATCTTAATTATTATGCTGATTATTTACATACAATTATTATTTAATAATACCGAATTATATAACATACCTAATAACATTAAAGGTCTATTGCGCCGGAAGCTGTCAAGCGGTAGGCGTCAATAAAATATTATAAGTATAAAGAAATATGAATCAACTATTTATTTGATTATGAAATTACTAATTATATTATAAGCCAATAATAAGTTCTATATATTGCCTAATCATCGGGGTGTACCTTAACTAGTTCGTAAATAATTTATGATGTGAGGCCGGAAGTGTTACTCGATAAAAAAATATTTTGACGTGACAACATCTTATAATTTGATGGAGCCGGCTGCAAGCACGAAAAACATGACTCATGCGGCGTTACCTCTCTCTGAGGCGTTCCATTTAAGGCTTGAAGTGCAAGCGAGAGCGCGCAACGAGCGACAAAGGCACAATCGGCCTCCGCGTTCGGCAGCGTTCGACATCTGTCTCTCTCCTACTTGAGTGAGCGATGCATCCGCGTGGACAGCTGCTATACAGTAATATATTTACATGTTTTCGTCAAGTATGAAGTTCAGTGAAAAGTGAATGTTGTGTTAGTTGTTTATAGCAACGATAATTGCGATAATTGAAAAATGAAACCATTCCATCAGTATTTTCTTATGACGTTGTCACGTTCAACTTTCGTCAGTAAACCGACTTTACAGACAACCGATTTTTTTTTAATGATTACTTCTAGTGATGAACAATCATTAATTTCATATTTGATTATTGTTTTTGATGTGATTTTTTTAAATGAAATTATTAGAAAAAAAAGGATACAAGGTAATTTTTCGATGTAATTTACGTACGAATCGGGCAGTTAAAATGATCTTAATGTGATTTAAAGATAAATTTGTAGCAATCGTTATAAAAGAGAACTGCTTAGTGCTAACGCTTTATAAAATCTGTAAACTGGATAATCACATGGTGGTTGGTTTTTTATACCATAATATAATAAAGTCTATTGACCATACCAATACGAGTACAATATCTCTTAAACGCGAACACGAAAACAAATTAATAGAGATTATGCACATAGAAAGGTCATGTGGTAGGACCTCTTGTGAGTCCGCACGGGTAGGTACCACCACCCCGCCTATTTCCGCCGTGAAGCAGTAATGCGTTTCGGTTCGAAGGGTGGGGTAGCCGTTGTAACATACTGAGACCTTAGAACTTATATCTCGAGGTGGGTGGCGCATTTACGTTGTAGATGTCTATGGGCTCCAGTAACCACTTAACACCAGGTGGGCTATGAGCTCGTCCATCCAACTAAGCAATAAAAAAATAAAAAAATAGAACATAGAAATGTAAGGAATCAAATGAATGAAGTGCCACTACTAGTCAAGCTAGTAGTAGTAGTCAAGTGCCAAGCTAGTACAGCCACTAGGCCTTTAGCCCTTTGCAGCTTACTGTTTTTATAATACTCAAAACAGATCTGAGGGAAGATAAGCAATGGCGACGTTTTATTGCTTGTATTGGTCAGGTTAATTTTACAAAGCACACTTAATAAAAATAGTCACAACACGCGCTTTTAAACATAAAACAATTGCCAAAAATACTGGCCGGTACAAAGGTCAGGTCATATGACGTAGTTTTTTTTTTTTTATTGCTTAGATGAGTGGACGAGCTCACAGCTCACCTGGTGTTAAGTGGTTACTGGAGCCCATAGACATCTACAACGTAAATGCGCCACCCACCTTGAGATATAAGTTCTAAGGTCTCAAGTATAGTTACAACGGCTGCCCCACCCTTCAAACCGAAAAGCATTACTGCTTCACGGCAGAAATAGGCAGGGTGGTGGTACCCATCCGCACGGACTCACAAGAGGTCCTACCACCAGTAAAATGTCGGCGTTACGCCAGGGTTTTCACACATAAGATCTGTTACAAAAAAAATACAATACAATTCTATAAAACGTTAACATTACTTGTTTATTACAAAAAGCCACGTCTTAGTTTTAACACAATTAGCCATTTTGTGCTGGTTAAAGCAACTACAACTTCTTTTATACAAACAAATGTAATTACAGTGAAACAATTCATAAAATATTGCTTAATATTCACAATAAATACTTTAGTGATTTTTACATGACTCTAACATCAATTTATTTTACATAAATTACTTTTAACTAATATAAACTAACATTATTATTATCCAGCCTAATATTAGATGGCGCCAACAACATGTTTTGCATAATAATGGCAGTAATCAAATAGTTAATGTTAATTTATAACATAATTTGTTATTAATATTTATACTTTATTAATATTTGATTATTTTAACAATCATTTGCGTTTTAAAACAATAAAATAAACATTAAACATATTCTGTACATTTTCATCATCAAAACAGTGTCTACTAAATATTAAATATGGAATAACAGTTTCATCTTACTAATAATAGATACATAATGAAATAGATTAAATAAACTATAAATCATGCCAATTATTTTCCATAGCGGCTTTTTTTTTAATTAATTGATTAAAATTAATTATTTACTACTAAAAGATTTAAACAGTATGTGTCCTTAATATTTATAACAATACAAGTAAAAGTATTTCGCATTAATGTAATTTAAGTATTATTTTCATAGGTTGTACCTATCACATTTAATTTTTAAATTATTTTTGCTTTCTTAAAATGGACGCAATTTTTTACCATCTGTACTTTTTTAGAGTAAGGCTCTTACTAAAACCGGATATCTCTATCGAACGATACTTCGGAACATATTTTTCGGAAAAGTCCGTAAATTCAATATCATTGTATAGGAACGCGAACGAAACTCTATTACGTCGGGAAACGTTCGAAAGAGTTCGCTCACAAACACGAGTAAAAACCAGGTAGCTTTATTATTTGTAGAGACGAATAGAGTTTGTTTTGTAAAAAAAGGAAACTCGTTTGATGATATTATACAGTTGGATTAGAGATCCAGGGACTGCTGATTAATATGCCTTAAATGCCTTTGCAGCAGGCACTTGGAAGGAGAAAAAAAAATGTAATGATATTAAATGTATATAATGATAGTTATGTGTTAGATTTTTTATGTTACTAACATAGATTATAAGTAATTCTTACTAACAAAAAGGTTATGGTTTAAAAAAAAACTGAAATAAAGTATAAATAAATAAATAAAAAATAATTTCTGATCGCTTAACATTTTCTTAGATTGTAATAGTCAATTGCGTTTACTTGAATTCACTAAAACCATAGACTATGTTAAAGCTTTAAGCATTGAATTGCTAATGAAAATTACAAGAAAAACCGCAAAAAGATATATTAAAACTCAGTTTGAGTTTGTAAATACTTTACATATTGTCAAAATGATACTATAAAAATTATTATCATTAATATTATCTGCATTTAAATACTGTAGATGACAGGAGATATTCACTACACGAGGTCTATGCATCAATTGGCTTTTGAAATGGTAAGCCCATCTTTCTAATAACCCATAACTTTTTTACAGCAACAAATATTGTGATATCGCTTCTCGCAATATATCCTAACACGGGCCCGGTGGAATTAAAATATAAAAAAAAAACAATAAAAATATTACCAGAATTATGGAATTAGGAATCTCAAAAAAAAATTGAGCGCGTTAATATATTCTTCTAGCTTTTTTACCTCAACTAAAATTTATACATACAATATAGGTTATTTTACTATCAACAAGAGATAGTTATTTATATGGATACCCGATGAATTATTTACAACTTACCCTTCGTATTGGATATGGAATATGCAACAAAACACCCTATAGTGTAACTAACATTATACTTTATGTTACGTGGTTAATTTTTTTTCATACATTTCTTTCAGTTTGTTTTAGATATGATATAAGGGTCGCTTATCGATATATTATATAAGGGTCAGGAAAAAAACTAAGCCCTTTATTTTATAAAAGAAATAAATTTTAAAAATAAAAACTAATATATAAATAGTTATTTGTTTATCTATTTTTGCCAGTGGTGAAAAAATCACGCCTGGCTATCGGGCCTCAATTTAAGATTCTCTGTGGGCACCAGAGACTGGCAATCATACTCTATGTTTAAATACATACATATATATTTAAAGAGATAGATAATAAACACCCAGATAAAAAACAAAAAAATAAATTCATCACACAATATTTGCCCGTTGTGGGAATCGAACCCACGACCCTCAGCTCAATATTAAGGGGCGCTTACTATTGTCGAACTAACCAAAGAATCAGTCAAATAAAATATTTTTCTTTCTAAAACATAGTTAAATACCCAGTTGATCACTTTATGTTTAATTTGTTTGACTCGTGCCGCCATCTATAGCTCGATAATTGTACTATACTAGAAACTTCGACAACTTTCGACAACTTTCCTGCTATGATACAACTCATTAACAACTTCTTCCTTTAATTTTGCTATAAATGAACTCACGGCGCAACTAATTTTAAGTGGTGATTGCAGTAAATAAAACACCCCCTGAAATTTTATATTAAAACTACTTACTTTACTACTGTACTGTCTAATTTATTCTATTAGGTATATTTGTATGTATATTTCATGAGTTTCTAGTTTTTGCTTACTTTGAATAAAGGTTACGAATAAAAGTTTTATTATGTAGCAGGTATTATATAAAACTTATATTTTAATTGTATGTAAGTGTATTTTATTAGTAATATGGATTTGTACATATTAATATACACACATATTTTTATATAACATATGTATGTTTATTATGTCCTTGGAGAACGCCAACCTCTCCGATTTTCTGATTCATCTCCATCCAAAGGTTGA